CTCTCTCTCTCTCTCTCTCTCTCTCTCTCTCTCTCTCTCTCTCTCTCTCCTGAGCTATCTCCCCAGCCCTACTTCATTCTCTCACAAAACAACTTCATGTTAATGAAATGCACTGATTTTAAAACTTGAAAGATACATCCTCTGTGTGTGTGTGTGTGTGTGTGTGTGTGTGTGTGTGTTCCATAAGAAGAAATGTAATAAGGGGCTGGGGAGATAGGCAGTCTAAGAGCCCGCCTGGAAAGCACAGGACCTGGGTTCGATCCCTGGTACCACATGCTGTGCTGGCCCAAGCCTTGCAGCCCACCAAAACCAGACACAGTGGTAGATGCTTGTGATTCCAGCGCTAGGGAGATGAGACAGGAGGATGAGCTGTGTAGCTAAACCCTATACCAAATAAATAAATAAATAAATAATGTAAAAAAAGGGCCGGCCGGGTAGTTCAGAGGATTAAGTGTTTTCTACACATCCACATTTGTAGATTTTACCTTACAATAGCTTGTACCATTCTGTTTTTACTTGTTATACATCTTCTTAATATTTATAAATTTAAAAAAATTGTCAGTTATTTGAAATACCTTTTAGTGGCTGAGTGTTTAAATATATTATATTCATAGATGCAGATGTGAAAGTTTGTTTAGCCCTTGGTCATTTTTTTTGTTGTTCTAACAAGTTAAGTGCTATAAAAGAAGGTTTGGAGTCTGATCTGCCACCTCTCTATTTCTGGGAGTTGGTAGCAGGGGGCATTACTAGAGTAACAGGGAAGAATCCTTTAGGTTCCTAAGTATGCTATCAGCTTACCGCTAAGAAAGGGCGCGCAAAGCCCAAACACATCCAGGGAACATGGGTGTTCCTCCGTGGTTTTTATGACTAATAATTTTCTTGTTTAGTTTTTGATTATTTGATTTTACTTTTGTTTCTTTGGTTACATGGGCTATGTCTCTACATGGATGAACCATCTGTGTCGGGTCTTGTTGACTCTATTTCTTTCACTGTACTTTGCAGTTTTTTAGTTGGGGTTAAAATCTGTACCTGGAGAACAAGTGTTCAGTGAACTAAATCAGATGCAGAAGCTTACATGTTGTATGGTTTCTTTTATACCAGAAACCCGATGTATAAGTAAATTAAAAAGCAAAAGAAAAGATAGAAAATCAGAAATGGAGATGGCGGTTTTGCAAATGGGAAAGAGACCAAGAAAGGAGGGCTGGCCAGATAGCTCAGTAGATTAAAGCACCTACTTAGGCAGGCGCAGGTACTGGGGTTTGATCCCTGGTGTGCTGTGCCAGCCCCACCCTCAGGAGCTGAATGAGACCGGGTGTGGTGGCCTGTGCCTGTAATCCCAGCACAAGTAAGGCTGAAAATACAAGGATCACTACGAGTCCGATCTGTGTAGTGAGACCCTATTGACCCTGCACTAAATACATTAAAAAAGAGAGAGAAAGACCAAGAAATGGAGGGAGAGGAGATTTAAAAAAAAAAAAAAACAAAAAGAAGGGGTGTAATGTCAATGTCCCAGCTCCTCACAATGAATGGGATCGTTATGCACCACAAATATGCACTAACAAAAATTGAAAATTATAAAACTGTCTGTTTCCTTTCAACGCCTGCCCGAAGCCTCCCTCAGGTAGGCCCCAAGCACAGCCTCTGGCATCCCATGTTGCTGGACTGAGGCTGTGCTTACCGCTGGCAAGTTCTACACCGCACTACAACTCTTTGCAGTCCTGCCGTCCTCCAGGGGACAGCCGAGAACTCGCTGGCCAGGACCGAGTCATTTTTTAACTCAGCACCCAGTCCGTCAATGGTTTGGTGTCAAGTCTGTGCCGTTTATCTAATGAAGTAACGAATAAACTCTTGGAGATCGCTGCAGAGTTGATTTTATATTAACATGCACTTTATGAGGACAGCGAATTGGCATTTTATATAAAATAGAGAGAGACAACTTAAGCTCTTGGATAAACCTAACATAACATAAATGCTAGAAAGACAGTATGATTACATTGTTAGAGATTGAAATATTGCTGATGATTTGCTCTAAAAAGGGAAGCCCTTTATTTGAAGAAAGTAATTTCCTCAGCAAATATTATAAAATTATGTTTATTGATTCATCTGGAACCTTATCAAATTATCTGGACAATCATCATAACACACCTTTCAGAAGGGCAGTACAAAATAAGATGCATTTCTTCTGATAAAAGAAAAACATGCATACTCACACGAGAAGTATACAATGAAAGCTAAGCTTCCAAAACAGTAGCATTTTTCATTATGTCACGCTCTCCAATTATACCTCTGATCTTCCTAGTCAGGCTTTTCACAGCTTTGCTCTACAAAAACATTTACATATTACTTGGTTAATACCATCTCTGAGACATTGCAAAAACCAAGAGGAAAACAATGAGGTTGTGCTGAGGCTGGGAATGGGTCTTCGCTCTAGCAAGAGATGACTCCAGTGTAGCAGCTCTCTGTCTCCATGTTAGAGTTGGAGTCTGTTGGGCACAAAGGGACTCCGGAGATGCTAGGCTGTCCCAGAACCCCCTGGTCTGTGCTTTTCCCAAAACTGAAAGCTCTTGCCACCAGCTGGGTAGAGTTTCCCCCACTTCTCCCTTAGGGTTGTAGTGTCACTACCTTTGTAAACTGTTCACAGTGCAGTTAAAGTGCTCGGTTGTGCTCCTTTTGAACCATATCTTGTTCCAGTTTTGAAGGCACTGTTCACAAAAGGCTGATAACATCTGTCTCTCCAAAGAGCAGAATACCTCTTGCTGTGATGAGTGGTGTTAAAGTCACTGTCACTATGCTCTTCTGACCCACTAGGTCCTGGGCAGACTTCTCACTGGGACACATCTGAACCCAGTAGACATGGCTCTTGGTTCATAGTAGACAGCTGTCCCTTCCATTGTTCTTCCAAGACCCATAAAGTCTCCCCCCAAAGAAGCCATCAACAGGATAGTTCCAAACACTGAGAGGACATTTTACAACTCCCAAACATTCATTCCTACTGACACCTTTGCCTCTATACTGTATTTCAAATACAATAAATTTTGCTTCTCTGAGTTGGGGACGCAGTTGTATGTAACTTCATGTCTACGGATAGCTTTGGGTCTCCACCTGAGGCAGGCAGTGTCCCCAGGTGGTGGCTGGGAAGTCTTCCACGTAGTTGGCCTGGTTGCATGTCTAATTTCACTTCTCTGAAAAGTACCTGTAATGCAGGCCATACTTAGTCCAACTGACACAGAAAATAACTCCTTGGGGCAATTATGATATGAATTAAACAGTCAGGTTTCACTGGAAATACATAGCAAAGACACTGCTATGTTTTTTAGATAACACTAGTTATCTATTGTAAACAGTGGTGTTTCTATTGTATTTAAGTATGACTTAAGATTTCTCTCAAAACTTAGGGACAACAGGCACAAACATTGGAACAATTAATATCATTGCTACGACTTAAAAAATTGTTTATGACATACAAAATTTTAATTCTGTTAACATGAAATGAAACAAGGCACCAAAACAATTCACGAACAAGTGCCAACATTTCCATTAGACATATCAAGTAGTTCTGAAGGTAAACCTAGAAGTTTTTGTCGTGGGAGATAAATTTTAAGGATTTAGAAGATAAAGTTGTGTGATTTGTTTTTAGTTGTGAGTTATTTCTTTGAAAACGTGATGCATCCTTCAGTTTCTCACACAGAGGGAACCTACGTCACAGACTGGATTCCATGTTATTTTGGCAGAGGTGGTTGTGCCAGTTCCTATACAGAAGAGGTCTTATGAAAATCTTATGAAAAAACATCCGAAATACTGAAGTTCTGAAAATGATAAAGATCCAAGGGTCTATGATGGAAATCACAGAGAGAAAACGCAAGGCGAGGAGGTCCTCTGGCTCTTCTCGGGCAGCTTTAAAGGCTCCGTAGTAAGCGCGATACTGTTTTGAGGAAAAACATTCTGTTATGATATGAACAGTTGATGGCAACAATGGATTCCCTTTGCTTCCCTTTCTATAAGTACATGCTGGCTTAGCTGGAAAAGCTCCTTTCTGGCACATTTACAAACAGCTGAGGGCATCGCAGCTGATGGGAGGGGTGGGGGCCTGGAAGTGGAGAACTGGAGGAATGGGCAGGAGCCAGGCTCTGATGAACTCCCTGGAGCTCGAGGGTCCTGTCAGACCATGAAGACTCATGGAAGCTTCCAGAAACAGATTCTTTCTCCAGCCTGTCCTCCCTCCCATACTTCATTCAGTCCTCCTTTCATTGTCTGTTTCTTATCCCCTCTCGGCTTACTTGGAAATAAGTCCCCTTGCTCAGTGTCACATGTAGAGATATCAGAAGCTCTGAATTGACATGAAGGACTAAGAAATTCTCACAGGACAATGAGAAGGTATGAGGCGCCTTGAAGAGGGAACCAGCCGCCTCGTGAACATGGCCCCGTCACTCGTGGCACAGAAGATGGACTTTCCTGCACTGATATCCTCTTTTTCAAATTGAGGGCAAAACAGGCAGAAAAATAAGAGCCCACTTTCCTATGGCCAGAGTATCGTCTCAGGCTTCCCTGAGGGCCCTGTGGCCCTCTTGGAACCCTCCACGAGCTCCAACTGTGGTTGTTCCCGACATCTGCCCCACGCTGCTGTGTGGAGCCACCCTGCCCTGCCTGCTCCTCCGCCTGATGTGGTCACCTTCTCTTTTTGCCATTACACTCCCTGTGCCTGCTGAGATTCTAAACCCATACTGGGCCAAATGGATCCTAATGGAACCAAAATGCGGCAAACCGAACATTACAGAAGCAGGAGGGAACACAGATAAGTGCAGAGAGCAGACCTGTTCAGGCCATCAGGAACAGCTCGGGGAAGATGGATTTGCCCATAATCATTTCAAAACCCTTTCACTTCCTTCTCCACGGAGCAGCTCAGCGGGCTCGTCCACTCCTACTGAGTGCCCTTAGCAAGATGCCTTTTGTTGACTCAGCTGTTACTCAGAGCTGGACACCCTTTTCTGTCACTGTTGCGTAAAAGTAATCATAGCCATAATAACAGCCAATATCCACAGCCAGCCTGTACTTCTAGGTACTTTTCTAAGTACTTTAAAACATTTATTTTATCTTTACAAAAACATACAAAGTAGATACAATCCTTATCCCCGCTGCAAGTGTGGAAACAGCCTCCACGCCCAGACAGGACCTCCCTTCCAGGTGTCCCTCGCAAATGACTCTTTCTGACTCTGGGTTGGAGTTCCCTGCTTGGATGTGTGACTTCAGGGAACTGGCTCCCTCACCTTTACAAGGATGACCTTCGGGGCCAGCCAAATAGCTCGATGCATTGAAGCGCCTGCAAGCAGGTGCAGGGGCTGGGGGTTTGGTCCCCGGGTCTGCCGCGCCGGCCCCGCCCCCTGGAGCGTGCTGAGATGGTGATTGAGACTGGGCGTGGTGGCGCGCACCTGTAATCCCAGCTCTTGGGAGGCTGTAAACAGGCGGATCACTACGAGTCCAACCTAGTAGTGAGACCCTGAACACCCTCCAGACCCTTCCCCTCCCAAAAAAAGACAAGGACAACCATTGTACCTAAGCTTCCAAGATTCTTGTGAAAGTTAAGTGCAGAAGTACCTTGAGAACAGGGTCTAGCATGTAGTAAGAACTCAGTAATTAGCTGGCGTTATTATTTTATCAACCTAGGGTGGCCTCAGTCTGCCCTGTGACACTAGCCACTCCACACCACATGCAGGCGATATGGTGACTTTCTCATTTTGCATTCTCACAATGAACCACAGGATGTCCCGGCTGTGGTAGGTACCAGGTACCACCGAGTGACACTCAGATGACAGTATGCTGTATGCTTTGGTTGATTTAGTAAAACAGCATGTTATGTAAGTTTGCTTTATATATGCCACTTCGTCTTCCAAGTGTAGTATAGTAAAGTATATGTCCAATTATGTGAGAATAGCTGATTAGCTGGGGTCTAGGCAACTGTGATAATTACAACAAAGCATTTTATTTCTACGCAGTATTTATCTCTACGTCTATCCTTGTAGGTTATCTGCCTTTTTTCTTTGTGCTTCTGGGGGTCAAACCAGGACCTCACACATACTAAGCATGAGCTACACCCAGCCCACTGCTTGTCTGTATTTTGAAGTCATTAGGTTTGTATGAAAAACGGACAACTCTGCACCTGTCACTTTAAAAGTGGCTCAATCTCACATAATCGATGTGAGAACAGCGCCCTCTGTTGGGTTTAGGGGTCACTGAGAAAATGTTGCTGTTGTTAGCTAGGTGGAAACCGGCAGGGGTAGTAGGGCAGAGCGTGTCTCCAGGGCTCTCCTTTGCCGCAGCTTGCAGTTGTCTTTTGAGCCACTCAGGATTCACATCTCGGCTCCATCTGTGCCTCCTCATCCCTCCCAACCTCTATGGGTGTCTAAGATAAAAAAGAACATTGATGACAGTATGTTAAATGCATCACAGCATGTGTTGCAAACGGCCTCTAAGGTTCACCCCGTATCCGCTATAGCAGCTTCCTGCTGCAACATTGCAAGTTTGAAGACAATCTATTTAGTGTCTTATCCTCATCGGGTATCATTGTGAGCTCAATGTGTAGGGGTCTCCAATATCTAGGCAGAGTCCACAAGATCCTCCCATAAATAAGATGCCATTTGGTCCAATGTTTTGGTGCATGCCTGTGATCCTAGCTGCTTGGGAGGCTGATGCAGGACAATCCAGGGTTCAAGGCCAGCCTGCGCAAGTTAGTGAGATTTTTGTCTCAAACCTAATAATTGTGGCTGAGAAGATCTCAGTGGTACAGTGCTTGGTGAGCGTGGGTCAGGCCCTGGGTTCTATCCCCAGGATCCTTTTTCATTTTTTTCACTTCCAACCTCTCACCAGTGAACAGTGAGTTTTATGGAGCACACATGACACATAACAAACCACCTTTCGATGGCTGACGGCATATGATCTTGCATACATTACTCTTGGCTTGTTTAGAGCTTTCTAAAGCAGTAGGCTAATGACACAAATGTGTTTCCAGCATCTCAGCATGTTTTTTTCTGTTTCATCTGCTATAATCTCTGTAACTGTACCATGTCTATTTTGTTTTCCTTGTATCAGTGCAAAAACAAGAGAAGTAAATTGTGTCATCTTTAGTAAAAATATTTAAAATTTCTTAGTTCTAATATCTATCATGATAAATGCTGATAACATTATTCACAAAGATATAAGTTCTCTGGATCCTTAGTAATTCTTAAGGGATTCCCAGACCTTAAAAACCCCTGCCACTATCTCTGAGAAAATCATCTTTCTTTCTTTTTCCTTTTTCTTTTTCTTTTCCTTTTTTATTTTATTTTATTTTATTTTATTTTATTTTAGGGAAGGGTCTACAGGGTCTTCAGGGTCTCACTACTTGATCGGATTTGTAGTGATTCTCCTGTTTATAACCTCCCAAGAGCTCGGATTACAGGCGTGCACCACCATGCCATCTCAATTGCCATCACAGCGTGCCCTGGGGGAGGGGCCGGCATGGCAAGCCCAGGTAATCGAACCCTGGCCCTGCTTGCAGGCACTTTAATCTGCTGAACCATCTGGCCGGGCCTTATATTTCTTGATTAATTTGTTAAATCCAGCAGGTGTTAATAACAGATGAAAGTTGTCATTTGTGTTGATGGTGAGACTAACTGCTGAGGACAAGCACTGAGTTAGGTGAACACACACGTGCACATACACACAGCTACACACACACGTAGGGGGCTGATATTCTTTTTCCAAAAGGCTTGGGACCAAAAAGTGTTTCAGATTTCAAATTTTGTTATTTTTTTAGTTTGGAATATTTGCCTGTACAGAAGAGGGGGTCTGAGCCAGAATCCAAGGCTAAGCAGGAAATTCATTTGTTTCACATTTAGTGTACACTGACCATCTGAAAGTGCTCTTAGACACTAGTTACAAGGCACCTGCTTTGTGACAATGACTCATCACAAGGGGTCAGGTGTGGAACATTTTCCTGTAGCACCGTGTTGGCACTCTGAAAATTTCAGATTTTGGAGCATTTTGGATTTTCAGATTAGAGATGCAAAGAGAGAGAGAGAGAGAGAGAGAGAGAGAGAGAGAGAGAGAGAGTAAATTTTTAAATCTCTACAACTATCTTCCAGAACTAGTATGGTTATTCTCACCCTACAAATGAGGACACTGTGGTCACAAGAATAAATAAGTTACTTTCCTAGTGACTCCAGTGGTGAGGCCTGACTCAAACCCATGATGACACCAAATCTCTTGCCCTTCCTAGCAAATGGTAGCATTTGTGAAGAGGGCTCTCTGCATTATGTGTATTTCATACTTTATGCGATTATTAGAGTCATTTTCAAGTCTGTTATTTCCTTTAGTCCCCACAATGCCCCATGAGATATTTAGATCTGAGAGACATGAAAAAAGGCAACCCTCTTTCCTCTGTGTCATGCTGCTTTCTGCATTGTTTTTACTAAAACATTCAAACTCAGGTCAAAAGTTGTATACTTTTGGCTCTGGTTTACATTGATGACAGCATAGCTAAGAGAGGTTTCAATTTTATTACAGTGGCCTGCAAAGCTTTTCTGTAATGATATAGCTCAAACTTTTACTTTTGTATGTCAAGTGGTAAAATCATGAATATTTGGCAGTTACTACAAAAATAAGGGAAAACTACATTTCCATCATTTTTATTGATGACATTCAAGATATAATATAATCATAACTGAGTACAATGTTTTAAAATATTCACCTATGAAGGAGATGAAATTTCTTTTTCTTTTAATTGGAAAAGTATTTGGGTTAACTGGGGCTCAAAATTTTGGGTTGATTGAAAATATTCATTTAAAATATGTTATATATTTATAGCAAGCCCCCACAATGAATGTAGTCACTAGGTACTGCAAACATGTACAAAAAAAATTAAAATTTGTATTATTAACTTCACATTTTTACAGAAAGCAGGCAGGACTGACAGCCTCCTGCTGGAGAGCGTGGTTCTACACACAGGACCCCGAATCAGCATTGCCAGTCAAATCTCAAAGCTGGTCAAGAGTGACAATCTTCAGAAATGCTCTAATTTGAAATCTTGGAGGAATGAAGGTTTGGTCAACTTTATTTTTAAAAACCAGCTGATGATTCGGAACAAGCTAAAGTTTGAGAATCGTGGATTTATTTCTATGCCTGTGTTTGTTTGAATTCTGATCTTACCCCTGCAGAATGCTGCTACCCACTAAGCTGCCCCCTCAGTTGAGGCATTTATTTAAAATGAAGTCACTTCACGTCTCCCTGTCACCCACCATTAAAAGTGACATCCTACTCTGCAGCACCACAATAAGAAGCTTTCCTAGTCCCAGAAGTCTCAGGGCTGCAGTGACTTTGCACGGAGCATAAATACACTTTATATAAATATTGTTTTTGTTGGACCTCTACATCGCAGGCGGGGACAATGCTTAAACAGTTTTCTTGGTCCCCCAGCCACTACAGGGTGTCTGGGCTTCCCCAGAATTAAAATAAAAGAACGTAATTCAAACTCCACTACCGTCTTCTTCATAGATTGAAACCCTAGTCGTGGCTTTCAGGCCTCCTCCCTTGCCAAGATAGAAAGAGAACGTGTCAAGACAGGTTGTCAAAACGCTACCACAGCTGAAAACTACTTACAACAAACAGCCTCTGCGTTTGTCTCCACCACCCCTGGCTACAGTAGACACAGCTGCCGCCGCCGTTCCTCTTAATTTTATGCAGTTTTTTTTCCCCTCCTGAAACTAAATCTATGTTTTAGTTACTCCCTTCCGCAAGTGGCTCAGACATATTCGAAAGCTCCCCTCGTCCCTTTCCAAGCCAACACGCTATAGAAAACTTGTAGGCGCTGTTCGCCGGTTCCTGACCCACTCACACCACAGGCAGGGCTGGCAAATTCAGCTCCACCTAGCGGGCAAGAAAAGGCAGGGGAGCCCCGCGGCCAGGCCAAGAGGAGCCCGGTTCTCCTCCTCCAAGGTTCTAGGCGCAAACCCAGCGGAGAGCTCGCCAGAGGGCAGCGGGAAGGGGATTCTGTGGAGCGGAAAGGGCTTCGCTGAACTGGGGACACTACCAAGTTTGTGTTTCTTTTCTTTTTCTGACTTTCCCTCCTCTGGCTCAGCAAGTGGTGCTTCGGAGGGAGTCGGACTTGGGAGCACAATGACCCCACTCCCTGCCGAGGACGCAGCTCCGCCCTCCCAGCCCGGCACCCACGATAGGCGCCAGCGCCCCGGTTCCCGCAGCCTCAGCTGCCTGCGACTCACGACTAAAGGCAGGGTGCACATGGTGAAGAGCACGGTCATGAGGGCCAGCAGCAACAGGTGGTCCAGCTCCTCCAGGGGGTGCGGAAACGCCTCGCTGGGACGGCCGCCCGGCCCTGCGCGGTCCCGGAGGCCACAGCAGCGCGTGTGCCGGCGCAGGCGCTGGTGCATGGTGTAGAGGCTGCGCATGGCGCCCAGGTTGCACAGCACGATGGCGAGCACCAGCAGCGCCATGAGGCTGGAGTACAGCACCGAGTAACCCTTCACCTTCGGCGAGTCATCTCCCGACACCATCTGGATGAAGCACCAGGTGCCGGGACAGTACTGCACGAAGTCCCCGAAACCCGCGAAGGGCAGCGCGCAGAAAGCCAGGGTGAAGGTGCCCACGGCCGGCGCCACGAGGGCGCCCCGGCGCAGGGTGATGTGCCGCTGGTAGAAGAAGGGGTGTCCCAGGGACAGCCAGCACTCTAAGGCCATGGCTAAGAGCTGAAGTGTCGAGGCGAGCCCAAAGAAAGACATGATGAAGGCGAAGGCTTGGCACAGCGAGTGGCCCTGCGCGGGCACCAGTCCCCGAAGGCTCCGGTTTTGCGCGTAGGCAGCCAGCACCACCGGGCTCACCAGGCACTTGCCCAGCAGATCTGTGACGGTCAGGCCGCACACCAGCACGTAGAAGACCGAGGGCTGCGGGCGCGGCCGGCAGGACCCAAGCCCCGAGCGCGCCAGCAGCCCGAGGGCCAGCAGGTTGCCCAGGAGGCCGGCGCTGAAGAGCACCCCGCCCACTGTCGCCGAGTTGCCACTCTGGACCGAGACGGTGGAGTTGCAGGGGTAGAAAGCCATCTTCATGGCCGGTTGCAGTGAAGGCTGCGGGCGGCCGAGGCCCGGCCCGGGTGCGGAGAGCCCCTCGCACCCTTGGCGCAGCTGGGTGCAGGGGCAGCGCCGGTGCGGAAGCTCCGCGGGCGGCTGGGTGCGCCCACGCGCCGGGCGCCTCCTATCTCAGTTCTCGGTCACACCTCTCAGACCGGGAGGGCGGGACGCGCGGCCCGGGGCGCACCCTGTGCGGTCCCTGCAGAGCGCCAGAGCTCAGCCTCTGTGCGGGGATTTCAGGACCAGCAGAGCCAGGTACCCCGAGTCGGAAGGACAGAGGAAAGTGGCCAAGAGTCCGTGCGGCCAAGACCCTTCCTTTAGGCGAGGCCAGGCGAGAGAGGAGCTCTGAGACGAGAGGAAACGAAGCGGCAACCGCGAGGGAGGACGGAGCTGGACCAGTGGCGGCCGCTGTGAAACTGTGCTGCAGGCCGAGAACTCCCTAGAGGAGCAAGCAAGAAGGAGGAGCTGGATGGAGAAAGGCTCCCGCCTGCCGTCAGGAATTAGTGGGGTGAGGAGGAGCTAGGGTAACTCATATTTGCATCACAACAAAATCCTGCCTAAACCCCCTAGACCTGGAGCTTTAGCAAGATCTCTTGGGACCTGCCCAAGGCGACGAACGGGGAAGGGGCAGAGCTCAACCTGGAACCGGACCTCGGATTTAAGGATGCGCCTGTCTTCCACGGCTCCTCCCCGCGAGAGGCTGGCCAAATTTCAGAGCCAGAGAAAGCCTGAGCTCTGAGCAGGGCAAGCCGAGAGGTGATATTGGTACCCTGAATCTCAGTGCCAGGCAGACCGGGTGGGAGGAGCCGCTTAGCAGCTCTGATTTCCCTCTTCTGTGGCTTACTGCCAGTGTGGCCCCAGGAACTCCCAGCGCTAACGTCTGTGCTACCAGAGCTATGCTCTGTGGAAGCTTGGAGGACACCTGTTAAGAGAAGATGTACAGGAAGGTCCCGCAGCGCGCAGTCACCACGATCATCACGAGATGGAAAGCTGACTCAGCAGCTGATAAATAAGAACAGGCTTTAGCATGGATTTAGAAACCTGAGAGTAACTTAGAGCTTTTTTCACTCCTCTGCTGTGGGACCCCCGAGAAACATTTCTTCCCTTCTGGCTTTGACTTAGCTGCGTCAAAAAGGCAAGGAATTTAACTGTGATTTATTTCTCCCGTTGACATTTAACAACCAAAGGGCTGAAACTGGTTTTGAGTGTGGAATTTGAGGGGATAACTGGGGCCATGCTGGATAAGGAAATACATTAGGCTTGGCCTGAAGAGGCCCAGTTTTGGCTCTGGGCCTGTGCTGATGGACAGAACAGGGAAGGAGGACAGGACACAGAGGCTTCGGATGTGAGGGACTGGAGGTGGGGTCGGGGCAGAGAGGCTAGCTCCAGGCAGACAGCTGGCAGGGACTCCCGCCAGGGCCTGGAGAAGATGAGTCGGAGCTTTGGAATTGAGCAGTTCTGAACCCTACCACTTGCTGTGTGACCCTTGGTTAGTGACACAATCTATCTCATAAATTGGATGTGGGAATTTTGTGACCTTAGAGGGTGGTGGTGAGATTGAAATAAAAATGAATTGCTTGGCATAGAATAATAAAAGTAGCAAGAACTACTACTTATGGGCACTTATATATGCTGGACACTAAGCCTTTCACACGTACGCACTCAACAGCAGACCCTGTATGGGACTATTTGTTTTGCTTTGTACCTTCTCTTCTATCATCTCTAGCAAAAAATGATGGGTTCGGAAGAGCCCCACTTGAGCTGATAAAATAGAAGGAGAAAGAAGCTCTAAAAACCAAAAAATCCATGAATCTGATGAAAACAGAGATCTCCTAGACAGACAGACAGACAGACAGACAGACACACGTGCACAGCTTACACTGATTTCAGGGGATTCACGGTGTCCTGAAGTCCCACTGTGGTATCCAGAGGAGGCCCAATGGAGCATGGCACAACAATCCTTGCTCGAAGTGGGTGTTTCCCCAAAATATATGCACATCAATTCTTTAAAAAAAAAATTTTTTTTTAAATCTTTATTTGGTATAGGGTCTTGCTATGCATCTGGGTCTCGTAGTGATCCTCCTGTCTCAGCCTCCTCAGAGCTGAGATTATAGGCATGTGCCACCATGCCCGATTCTGGTGGCCAGCTCTGCACTGGGCAACACAGCATGTGGTACCGAGGATGGAACCCGGGTCCTTGCATTTGCCAGGCAGGCTCTTAGACCACCGAGCTCTCTCCCTGGCTCCCCACCTCAATTCTTGACAATTTTATTATTAGTAGTAGTAGTATTGTCATAACTTCCTACACCTCCCCATCCCTTCTAGTGTGGGGACAGAGGAGCCCCAAAATATAAATGTCTTTAAAAATATCCCCAAATGCGACGGATGGGCCAACCGTGGGTCCCTGCCATGGTTTACACATGTCATACTTCAAAGGCCGAGGGTTGGAACGGGTACCATTCAGGAAACCACCCGTTTCCGCCCGCCCAAATTAGCTGGTCTTTATCATGAGGTTTCCAGCCATCTCTCTTTCCTGCCTGCATTTTTTTTTTTTTTTGGTCTGTCCTGCCCTGATCTTAGGCTTAACTTTGGAGTTTCTGTCCCTGCTCCTAAGGAGTTCTGCTTTATAACTTAAACATAGAGCTAAGAAAAGTGTCACTTTCTCATTCCTGCAACACATATTTCTGAGTTCTTTGCACCAGGCATGGGGGTGAAGAGGGCGGGTATTTAAAGGGAAGTAAAGCCATGCCATGTGAGCTTTTACAGGCTTAGAAATTTTTATATAAGTTTTCAGTTACCAGGCTAAGCTTTTCGTTTTTCTCTTAAAGACAGGAACTTTTAATGAAAATATCTGTCTCAGCTCCATTATGTACAGAGCTGTCAAAGGGCTCACTAGAGCGCTAGAAACATATGCATGGCATTGTGTTACCAGATTATTATAAAAATGTCATGACATTATGATGGTATAGTTATAAAAACCACATAGGCTTGTGAACAAGGCCAAGACACTGACACAGGCAAATGAAAACACATCGACTTAAACTGGTAAAGGGACAATAAAAATGAGTTTCTTTTTGGACTTCTAGGACTTTAAATAGAGTATCTGTAATAATTATTTTAGGATGTTCGACCCCAGGCACAGAGGGGCTCACCTGTACTCCCAGCACTTGAGAAGTTGAGGCAGGAGGACTGCTGGAGCCTAGGAGCTCAAGCCAGCCTGGGCAACAGCTACAACAAACAAACAAAAAGATATGAAATAGAAAGCAAGCTTATTTTCAAAGCTACATTGTAGGAAAAGCAAGAGAATGGAAAAGCATTTTTTTCTCTTCTGGAGTCACCCTATGCTCCTAGATCTTATTTATCTCTTTTTCCTAAACTCTGATAGCTTGGATTGGGAATTGTGAAGAGCACAGGAGAACTAAAAGCACAAAGAACAGAATTAACACCCCCCCCATTGGCTGCATCTCCTGCATATCTAGAGACTTTGTCAGATGTTTCTTTACATCCAGGGCGAAGCAGGGTGCCAGTGGTGTGTACATACTGGAAGTTATCTTGGGTGAATTCAAATCTCAGTTCTGCCCCTTGATAGCTCCATAGTCCCGGGCAATCACCTAACCTTCCCAAACCTCAATTTCCTTGTCTGTAAAACTGGGTGTGGGGGCAATTGTACTGAGCTCATAGGGTAGTTGTGTGGCTTAGAGAAAAGAATCTGCAGACAACAATAGTTCTTAGCCTTGGTTGCACCTTAGAGTCACCTAGAGAGCTGCCTGTAAACACTCCTGGTGCCTTAGCGCCCTGAACTGATTGTATTGGACACTCTCAGGTGCCCTCCCAGACTCCGCGGGGAGGGGCTGAAGGTGGAAATGGATCACAGGTGTGGGGCTGGAGCGAAGCCCTTTCGAGAACAAAGAGTGCTAGAGGTAAGCCTTGGGAACAACTGCACTAGCCGAGCGGGCATTGGGCACCTCGAGGACAACCAAGCAAACAGGTTGCTTGGCAGAGGGGTGTCACGTGACATCAAGCTGCACAATGTATAAATAAATGCACTAGGGTCCTTGAACAGTCGCTTTTCTCCCAACTGCAGAGAGGGCTCCACCTGACCTTAGCTTTCTGGTTTTTGGTTTTTGCCTTTATTTCTTCATCCTCCACTATCCTTCACCCCCCAAAATTTTGGCAGCTGAGCTGGACATGGAAAGCTTCAGTATTTTTTTAGTTTCCTCATTTTGTTTGTGCAGCTATGAGAACCACTGGGCTGAAAGGCTAAGTGCAGTGCTCTCTAGGGTTTATCAGTGGTGTTAGCTCATGTTTTTATTCCTGCCAAGTATGTTCTGAAGTTTCCTTAAGTTCTCTTTCTCTCTTTTTTTTTTTTTCAAGAAAGAAAATGAGGGGCCAGGGAGATGGCTCAGTGGAATAAGCACTTCCCTGACAAGTGCAAGGGCCTGAGTTTAATTCCTGGTTCTGCCAAAAAAAAAAAAAAAAAAAAAAAAAAAAAAGAAAAGAAAAGAAAAGAAAAGAAAGAAAGAAAGAAAAAAAGAAAGAAAAAAGAAAGAAAGAAAGAAAGAAAGAAAGAAAGAAAGAAAGAAAGAAAAAAGAAAATGAGACATGGAGGTCAATAAGTTGTTCAAGTTCATCTACTAGTACGTGATGAGTCGAGGGCAGCATTCAGCTCTTTTGGATTCGCTGAGCCTCTGCTTTGGAGAAGAGGGTTAGAAAGAAAACAGGGAGCCTGCAACTTCCTTCATCTGTGCGTAAGCCCAGAGGCAGAGCTGCCTCCAAGGTCTGAGGCGCCAGTCCTATGTGTTTCTCTGGTCACATGAAGTCCTCTGGCCAAGCCCACACAAATGTCATTTCGATCTCTGTTTCCTAAAGTTTGCTGGTGGTTACGAGAAAAATCTTCATTTTTTTATTTTGGTTCCTCTTTTTTGAGATCTCCCAGCTCAACCTTTGGGAAATGTTTCCACTTGCGTATCTTTGGCTGA